GAAGAGCGGGGCTGGTTGAGGTATGGGGCGTGCGGGCTGCAGGCTGCAGCCCAGGGCTCTGCCTCGCTTACCCTTGAAGACGCGGGGGGCCCAGCGGGGACGTGAGGCCGATGAAGGCCAGCGTTGGCTTTTCCAGGTGGACGGGGAAGACGTATTTGTAGAGGGGGATCTGGTTCTCCACCACCGTCACACAGTCCTCGAGGAAGGGGAAGGCGAAGCTGTAGCCCGTGGCGAAGACCACAGCATCAATGTCATCTTCCTTGGTGCCGTCCTCGAAGATGGCAGCGGTGGCCGTGAACTCCCGGATGTTGGGCTTGACCAGCACTCTGCCTGCAATGATGCTGTTGGGCAGGTCGTCGTTGATGCTCGGGTGCTGGTGGAAGACCCTGCAAGGACACAGACCTACCATACGCAGGGTCCAGCGTGGGCGCGCGGCCAGGACCTGGCGTCCCCGTGCCTACCGGTGCTGGGGCTTCAGGCCGTAGAGCATGTGGTCGAAGCGGGCATTCAGCTTCCTCTCCATGAAGAAGTTCCCGATAGAGGGGGGAACGAGGCTGTTGAGGGTCTGGAAGAGGCGAGTGAGGTAGGAGTAGTCAAAGGGGTAGCCGCTCTCGGCGAGGCGGTGCAGCACCCAGGCCCCTCGCCGGGTGCTGAGAAAGACCTGGGAGGAATGAGAGGGCAAGTGGAGGGGATGAGAGGGATGAGAGCTCCCGAGCTGAGTGCCCGGCCTGGGAGCCACGCGGCTGCGAGGGGGCCCGGGTGCCCCCGTGAGCGGGTGCCCTCTGAGCTACACGCTGCCAGGAGGGCAGGGGTGATGCTCTCCAAGGGATGAGGTGCAGGAAGCCGGGGAGCCGGCGGGCGATGGAAGAGGCCTGCCCGCTTCCTTTGGGATCGGGTTTGCTCTCTATTAATAAACACACCATCGAGGGAGAAGAGCATTTTAAGCTGAAGTGACATGTTGGCCTGAAATCAGGCAGGTCTGCACGGGCCAGGAATAAATATAGCCTGGGAACGAGACAGGGGAGAGGGGACATGTCCGGGCCTGGCTGGCCCTGGCAGCAGAGGCAGAGGGCAGAGCCCAGCTGAGCTTTGGCCACGGCCCTGGTGCAAGACGCGGGCGTTGGTGCCGTGGGCACACCTGCTTCGCCACGTGGCCCAGCTCCACGGCAATGTCGATGCCCGAGTTCCCAGTGCCCACCACGACCACACGCTGCTCCGAGAAGGCCTGCGGGGTCTTGTACTCGCGGCTGTGCAGGTAGCGGCCCTTGAACTTCTCCAGCCCTGGGGAGAGAGCAGAGCCGAGCCGTGCTGGGAACGCACCGCGGGGCGAGGGGTCGCCCCCGTGCTGGGGCTGGTGGCGGCTTGGGAAGGGGCCGAGCCCGCC